AAAAAAAAAAAAAAAAAAGGCTTTAGAGACTTCATTATCAGTACATCTATACTACAAAAAATTTTAAAGGAAGTCCTTTAGAAGAAGAAAAAAACGTTACCAGATGAAAATTTGGATCTACAAAGTCATCAAGGAAATGCAAGTTAAAGCCACAATGAGATACCATTTCATGCTTATACAACATGACTTGACAAAATGTTGATGAGAATGTTGAGCAAATGGAACTTTCATACATTGCTAGTGGAATATGAAACGAAACCGCTACTTTAAAGAAGTATTTGGCAGTTATCGATAAAGTTAAACATATGGGTACCTTACAATGGGAGAAAAGTGTATGTGGCTATAAAACAGCAATGTGAGGATCTGTGGTGATGAAAGTGTTCTGAATCTTCATTGAGTCAATGGCACTATCCTGGTTGTGCTAGTGTATATAGTTTTGAGGCATCACCATTGAGGGAAATTGCATAAATGATATATGGGATTACTCTCTACTATTTTTACAACTGCATATGAATCCATACTTATCTCTAAACAGAAAGTTTAATTTTAAAAAATGTATATAATCTCCACCCCCAAAAAAGGCCTTTTATAACAATATTCACAGCAGCCTTATTCTTAATAGCTCAAAACTGGAAACAAATGTCTATCAGTAGGATAAATAAACCACAATGTAACATTCAATTAATACTACTCAGCAATAAAAAGGAATGAACTACTGGTAACACAACATAGATAAATCTAAAAACAAAAACATGTTAACCAAAAAAAATCCAGATATAAAAGAACACAGTCTTTGATTCCATCTATACACAATTCTAGAAGAGAGCCACACTAATCTGCAGTGATAGAAATGAGAAAGTGACTATCTCTAGAAGGATGGTGTTTTGGTTACCTAGTGCCACTCTAACAATATACCGTAAATGGGATGGCTTGAACAAACGGTTTATTCTCTTACAGTTTGGGAGGCTAGAAGTCCGAGTTCAAAGTGCCAGGCCCTAGGGGCTGGGTGAAAGCTCCTCAACCCTGGGCTTCAGCTCTGCCCCCTGCCCCTGGCCCACTGAAGCTGTAGGCTTTCTTCACTCAGGCAGCTGCTGTCTGCTAAGGCTGACAAACCCAAGACTGACAAGTAAAAAGGCACAGCCCCGATATTACAAAACAACACAGCAGGCCATTGATTGAGGTCCACTAAGAGTCCCAAAATTGGCAAACAACATGGCAGGCTGCTGAATGAAGACTCACCTACATGCAGGGTCCGAGCATGCCAAAAACTGAGACCTTTCTCAACACTTCTCCTTAAATGCTGGAAGCAGACCACATCACTAAAGTAGCTACTCAGCTGCTTGCAGCAGATCCCACAGTGGAGTTCATTCGTCTCACCATGGAGAATAACTACATCCAGCTGCCCAGCCACTCAAAACCAGGCCCAGCCAAGTTGACACATAACCTTAGCTACCACAGATGGGTTGAAGGATTGCCAGAAAAGTGGTACTATGGAATTTTCTAAGGAGCCCTAGTGACACAGTAGTTAAGTGCTCAGTACCAAAAGTTTGGTTGGCAGCCTTGGTAACCCTACGGGGAACTGACTGGAAGGCACATAAGAAGGAGGAACTTTCTACCAGTACCAGTTGCTGTTGAGTCAAATCCAAGTCATAGTGATCCCACGTGCATCAGTTTTCAATGGCTGAATTTTCAAAGTAGATTGCAGGACTTTCTTCTGAGGTGCCTCCGGGTAGCCCTGAACCACCAGCCTTTTGGTTAGCAGCCAAGCATATAAACCATGGGTCCCACCTAGGGACTTCCAGGAACTTTCTACCATGATGGAAATATGTTGTTTAGGGTGGTGGTTATACAGGTATATACAATTATTAAAACTGATTGAACTGAGCACTTAAAATCTGCTTTATGTAAATTACACCTCAATGAAAGAGATATAATTTCCTCAAAAAAAAAGTCAACAACTTTTGTCCATCAAAAGATATCATTAAGAGAATAAAAAGGCAAAGTACAGAGTAAGAAATGCTTTTTGTCACTTATGTAACTAAGAGTTTATTTTGGTTACCTCTATGCTGCTCTAACAGAAAATACCACAAATGGCTTTAACAAACAGGAGTTTGTTCTCTTACAGTTTTGGAGGCTGTAAGTCCAAGTCCAAAGTGCCGGGCCCTAGAGGCTGGGTGAGAGCCCCTCAACCTTGGGCTTTACCTCTGCCTCCTGCTCCCAGCCCACTGAAGCTGGAGGCTTTTCTTCACTCAGCTGCTGGCTGCTGAGGCTGACAAACCCAAGGTTGACAAGTAACAAGGCACAGTCCCAATATTACTAAACCACACGGCAAGCCCCTAATTCAAGTCTATTAAATGTCCCAAGATCAGCAGAGCACGGCAGTCTGCTGAACAACAACTCAGCTACGTGCATGGTTCAAGTGTGCCATAAGCTAGAGACCATTTCCAAAGCTACTTCTTATGTACGGGAAACAGACCATATCCCTAAAACAGCTACACAGCTGCTTGTGCTAGATCCCACCATGGAGTTGATTGCCAGTCTCATCATCATGGGGAATAACTATCTCCAGCTGCCCAGCCACTCAACCAGGCCCAGCCAAATTGACACACAAACTTAACTACCACAGAGTTCATATTAACACAAAACCAAACCCATGCCACTGAGTTAATTCCAACTCATAGTGACTCTATAGGATATAGAACAGTTCCACAGGGTTTCCAAGGCTGTAAATCTTTATGGAAGCAGACTCAGTCAGATTTGACTCAATGGCAAAATGACTGAGTGGCTGGTAGGTCCAAACCAATGACCTGGTTGGCATCTGAGTGCTTTAATCACTGCACCACCAGGGCTCCTTATCATAGAGAAGAGGGAGCCCAAATGCAAGAAAGATCATATTGATTTAATTGCTTTGTATTTTTTTGCAATCCTACTTTTCTAGTTTTCAAATTTCAGCACCTAGCAATAAACTCAACCTGAAGGATTTATAAATATAAGTAGAATTCACAGAGGCAGAGTCCTACTGCTGAGTTCCATTGCAAGTCAGTCAGTATAGCATCCTTCCGGATACAGCCCTAACCCTCTAACATCACACAAATGTCTAAAGACCCATGCTGTCATTAAAATGAAACACACTTATAAGATCACAGATTTATATCTTTGTCATTTATTTTTTAAAATTTTATTCAAAATATTAAATAATACAATTTCAGATATGAAAAAATTACTGCAATAAAACAGTTCAGGTGTATTTCCATTGTGCTTCCCTTCCTTATTAGGACAATAAGTTATCCACCTGGGAGACATGATGGACTGCCCTGCTGCTTCCATCTCTATACAAAGCGTATACTCACTGACTCGCCCAGGCTTCACAGGTGGGCATTTAAAGACTATTAGGGCTTACGTTTTCCAAAAAGTTATACAATGACAAACCATGGTTTATAAATTAACCATGGTTCAAATCACATATTTACATATTGATTAATTCTTTATGATAGAAAGATAGGCAAAAATAAAATACAACAAATAATTTCCAGTCATTGTAAATAAACAAGGAAAATAAAATAAGAATGAGGGGGAAAGTCAGTGTATACATATATCCTTTATGTATACAAACAACTTCATTCAGGTATAATTACAATTTGCTTTCAAACTGTAGACACAATATTATTCAAGTGATAATGGCCCTTAAAATTTATTCAAACTTACTCTAAAATAATAAAATGAACAATGTCATATAATTTTCAACTCTGCATCTTGCATGAAGGCTTGGAGGAACCTGTGCTATAATCAATTGCTAGCTAAAAGCAATTGTATGTGTATTTAACATTTTACCACAGTTTCTACCTCTAAATTTAATTCAGTAATTCAAACAAAAAATAACCCTATAACATTTACCTATGCCCACTGCAAGTTGCAAAGTTTCTATTGCCAGATTTCTAGAATGTGTTACCCAAACATGTGGTCAGTTTGAGCAGTATCATTATCTTAAATTATGTTTAAATTTCCAAAAATATCCAGAGCAGTATTCTTGAAAGAAAAAAAATGTTACTTAAATGTAAAGTATTATCACACATATCCTTGTACATGACAGTATAGAAGCACAAAATAACGTGTGCTTAAACAACAGTATTTGGATAGCAGAGAGAAAGAATCTGAGCTGGCAGTACCAAATATGTTAGATTTAGTTACAAGTTTGGGATCTTTTAAAAGTAGCATTACTAGTACTTCCAGAAGAAGGATGATGAAGCAATCTAAAACAAAAAACTAACAGAGTAAATATAAGGTAATGCTTAGTTCCACATTTTGGACACCTGATTGAATTCAGCTCTAAAAGTGTAGATACAAAATTATATATTCCTTGTTTGTGACATTTCATTTCCAAAGCACCAAGGCAAAAAAAAGAGAGACCCACCTCCCATATAAGTACCAAATGCCTATGGCAAACATCTGCACAATATCATATAAAAAGTCAAGCAAATAAAGTTACATAATAAGCAAAATCAAATCACAGTGCTTTAAAAAATATAATCATTGGTAATCTTCAGAGAAGGCATTGCCTCATTAACATTCTGGTCGAGACGATGATATTCCACTGTTTTGGAACAAAGACCATCACGCCATTTCCTGCTTTGAACCAAAAGGAAAATCTGGAATGAAACAAAATTAATTAGATATGCAAAAGAGAAAATGGAAGATATGGTACAAGTTTTTATAACAATTGAAATCTCTCTCTCCTATGTTCCCAAACACAAAGAATAAAATAACAACAACGAAAAGACTGTTTTTCTTCCCATCTTGTAAACAAAGCTGAAAAGTGCTTTTCAAATTTCAATGTATATAAGAAGTGCTTGTTAAAGACAAGACTCAGATTCCTGGGCTTTACCTTCAGAGTCTGAGTTAGTAGATCTCAGTGGAGCCCTGGAACCCACTTGTTTAACAAGTCCCCTAGGTGTTTCGCTGCCTAGCATAATCCAATAAACATTCTTCTAGCATTTAAAATATGGCAGGATGATAAATATTCCAGTAAGAAATGTTCATCACAATGTTATTTGTGAACCAAAAATTGAAAACAATCTAAATGTGCAACAAGAATATAGCTAAATAAATTACACAGCTATTATTAAGTCATGTTTTTGAAGAATATTAATGATGTAGAAAATGTTCATGATTTCTTAGGTAAAAAGCAAGGCAAAAAACACCATGAGATCAAATCCATTTAAAATGTGTAACATATGCATATATGTTTATGTTATATACATATTTACAGACCAGAAATACACCAAAATGTTAATAATGTTCAGAACTAGGTAGCGCTCTGGTGGCACAGTGCCTAAGGCATTTGACTACTAACCACAAGACTGGCAGTTCAAACCCACTAGCCACTCCACAGAAAGAAGAGTAGGCAACCTACTTCCGTAAAGATGTACTGCCTCAGAAACCCAAAGGGGTTTGGCTCAATGGCCAAATTTGACTCAATGGCAGTGAGTTTCATTTTTTTCAGTTTAGGTGGTAGCTTAAATTTTCTTTTCTATACTTTTATTTCCTGAGCTCCCTAAAATAAACAGCTAATATTTTTATAGACAGAAAAAAATATTATTTAAAAGATAAAATTAAATCCAACACTTAATGAATTAAAAGACAAAAGTATAAATCTTTCTCCACTCCACAAGTATACCCTCTGAAGTAGCAACACTAAATTAAGATAATAAAACCTTTTTAAAAATATAATTAGGCTTTGGTTTTACTCATTAAGAAATAATATGAACCAGAAATGGTACAACCAGAATGGAATGAATGAGAATGATGACACATTGTGAAAAATGTAACCAATACCATTAAATTAATTTGTGTAGAAATTGTTAAACGGGAACCTAATTTTCTGTGTAAACTTTTACCTTAAACACAATAAAATATTCTTTATAAAAGAAATATGACAACTTATTTTCTTAGAAGCACTTGTAGTCAAGCATTCTTTAATTTGTTAAAGTATTCTACAGATTTATAAACTAAACAAACATCTCAGTATTTTACTATAAATTTAAACTTTACTAAAAAATAAAAACTATGAATCATCAGTAAGAAACAGATAATAAAGGTAAACTAAAGGGGCTGAAAAATTCCTAACATACCTTTCTTTTGTTGTGATATGTAACATAAACAATAGCAATACAAAAAGCAAAAATAATAAGATGAAAAAAGAAATGGCTGTCTTCCTCTTCTATATTTGAGGATGGGCTCTTAAAGGATTTCACTGACTGTTCAATTTCCATATAACCCCTGCTGTCTTCCAAAGTCTCCTCAGACTCATCGTCCCTGGGGTTGGTGGTCCAGTCATAATCTCCATAATCTCCATTGTCCTGAGTGTCTTTGGCTGTGGCTGGAGAACTATTAACTGTGAAAAGAACCTCCTCCTCTATGTTGGGATCTTCATTGCTATCAGCTTCCTCTTGGGGCAGAGAAGTAGAAGGCGAGAGATGAGGGGCTACAGATGCTCCTCCAGTTTTCTCAGTATTAGTTATAGGAGGGGGAGTAGTACTGATCTGGAAAGCAGAAGATCTGCTTTGGTTTTCACGTGTTACCACACTCATATTTGGAGTAGAAACATCTGGGTTGAGTGCATCTTCACTCCCTGGGTCAGATGGTGGTAGAACTGAAATAAATTAATAAAGAACATTCAACTAAAATCTCCAACATTGTCTCCACAAAGCTAAAAGCATATTTACCTCCATTTTTCACAGGCCCATCACTAAGCACTTCTCATTCCTAAATTCCTGTAACTTTTTTTTTTTAATTTCTAACTGTAGTTTGGATGAAAGTTTACAGAACAAATTAATTTTCCATTCAACAATTTATACACATTTTGTTTCGTGACACTGTCTACAATCCTTTCAATGTAACAACACTCTTCCTACTTCTTCCCTGGGTTCCCCATTTCCATTCATCCTTCTGTCCTGTCCCTTCCTGTCTTCTGAGCTTTGTTTTTGGGCAAATACTGCCCTTTTGTTCTTATATGGTTGATTATACTGAAGAATATGTCTCTCCCTGATGTTATTATTCACTTTACAGGCCTCACTATTGTTTAGCTCAAAGTTGATCCCTGAGGGTAGGTTCAGTTCCAGGCTTGAAGGGTGTCTAATTTTGAGAACTAGTTAGTTAATAGGCCTCAACAGCCAGCAATCAGTTCTATCTCTTTCTAGTCAATTATTAATCACGTAGCAATTACTTTGCCAGGCAGTAACAACTTGACCAGCATAACAGACATACTTCATTACATGGCCTGCCACCCAAAGAAAAGAGAGGCTTAGGTCACTTGACAAAGTCTACACAGCTCTTCAACATCCCTTTTTATTTCACAAAGAAGTTGGACTGAAGTCATCCTGGCCTCGACTCCACGCCACCACAGAAAGATGGGTGCCCGATTCTGACTCAAGTAGGCTAAATACAGAAATCACATCTAAATACTTTCATTAAGAAACAATCAATTCAAGAGAAGCCAAAAGCAAGCTGTAGACAGTATTTCTATATGATACTAGAACTGGAAGACTCCCTCCCCCAAATTAAAAAAGAAAAATTATAACAAAGTATTCTTAGGAAGAAGGGAACACCCCTAAAGGACAAAAATGCGGAACTAGAGCTTGAGAGCTAAGTGTGAATAGACTATTCCAAAGATTATGTGAAGCACATTTGGTATGAGGACTGACACTAAATTCATACAAGCTCTTATTTCTTTATGTTCCTGTACCAGGGCTTAGAACTGGTTCATTCCAGTTCAGCCTTCTGCTAAGAATTTGCATTTCCATCCCAGATATACTGAATCAGAACTCAGGGAGTTGAACCGGAATGAACTGGTTTGAAATCCAGGTTCCTATCCACTCTGCATGGTCAGTAAATTATCCAAAATTATTTACATAAGTAATTTTATATACCAAAACTGTTGAAATGTAACAGTGTCTCATTAGATACTAATCTAATGTAGTACCTGTTAGAGAACTTTAAGAATGCATGCTTTAGGAGGCGGGGCAAGATGGCGGACTAGGCAGAAGGATTGCACAGACCCTCTTCAACAAAGAAAAGGGAAACCAATTAACACAGACACAGAAGATA